GGGGGGAAGAGGCTTCGAGCGCTTTGCAGGGGTTTCCTGTAGCTTCCTTTTGGTCAAAATGCTTCAAAATTCACAGTTGGCTTTTTTTAATTATTATTTTATTTTCTACCTTGATGCTGAGTTTTTGTTTGTTTCAGAGCAAGGCATGGAAGTTGTAAAGCCACTGCCGATGCTAGCAAGGGATGTGTCTCTGAGATAGGAACCAAGAGAGCCCGTCAGGTGCCGCCTCGGTTAGCCTGGCCTTGGCACCCAGCTTTTTTGCTCTCCCAGGAGGAAAAGTAATGGTTTCTTTCTTGGCGTTGGAAATTCTGCTTTTGAGAGCTCCCGCCGCGGGGCAGGACCCGGGGCAGCCCTGAGCTCCTGGTAATTGCAGTGAGGAGGGAGGGTGGTCGTTAGCTGCCGAGGTCTGATTGACTCCAGCGTTCCTGCAGTGGCTTTTCTTCAGGCATCATGGGCTGAGCAGCAGCAATTCGTCTGTGGAAGGGAGGGTGTGGATGATTTGTGGAGTGGGGGATATTGCTTATAAAATAAAGAAAAACTTAGATTTGGATGGCTAAGAATGACCTGCTGGAAGTCGTGGGGCTTCCAGTATAAGTCAGTTTAATAGCAGGAATAGCAGGAATCAAGACCTTTCCTTGTTGCAACAAAGGTTGGGATAACAAGCTGGTCCCTGTTAGACAGACTGAGGCTCTTTATTTGCTGCCCGTGTCTGTGGCGAGGGCCTGGGTGTCCCTTCCCGTGGGTGGGACCCGTGGGGCTGCGCTTGAACCCCGGCTGTCTGCAGTTCTCTTTGCATTACCCTCTTGCGGCAGGGTAAGTCCATGAGAAAAATGAAGTTATTCCCGGTTTACAAGAAGTCCGGCTAGAGGAGAGGTAGGGTTTACAAGCAGATGTTTGCAGCAAGGATATATATTATTGGCTTAGCAAATAAATAAAAAAAAGAAGCTGATCTATGTTCAAACTTTGGGCTGTGTTTTTATGATCATTTCTTGACGGAAGCTGTTGGCCAGCATCTGCTGGAGGTATGTTCTGTTTCAGGCTATCTGATCGGTTGGCTGAGCTGAGGTTTCAAATGCTTACAACTAGCTTTTTGGTCTCTGTCTGAAAATCTGAAGGTGGTGGTGCGCTTGGGGCACAAGTTGCCTCTTGCTGAGAGCATTGAGACGTGGCCGTGTTTGCTGTTTGCTTGTGCTCGGGGGCAGGCAGCCACCCACAACCACCTTCCTCCTCGCCGGAGGAGCGATCCTTGAAGGCACCCCTAGCTCCGGGCGGGCGAGCCGGGCAGGCGGTGGAGGCTTTCCCGAGAACCTGTGCGCAGCCGACATCCCTCGAATTTCCTCCTTCCCATCAGCTGCGTGTTGCTTGGCAGATAGTGGCATTTAGGGGCAGGGCAGGGTGGTCCTGCAGGGACCTGGTGGTGGATGAGCCCTGCCTGGCTGCGTTGGTCGGGGGGCTGCTGAAATGGGGGTGAAGGAAACCCCGACACTGCAGTACCTGCCAGCACCTGGTATTGCAGCTTGGAAACAAAAATCACAGAGTGGCTGATGATAGCAACAGCAACGCCAAAGCTCATCTTCCCTGCTAGCTTCCGACAGAAACCGATGTGGGGAACGGCGAGCTGCTGCTGGGAATGGTTTTGGAGCTGATACATCGGGCTTTGCGTGTGCGTCTTGCCTCTTTTGCTTGCTTTATGGGAGATAAGCAGGGTGATTTTTTTTATTTCTTTATCACTCGGTGTGCTTTAAACCTTGTGATTTGCATGGCTGCAGGCACCATCTGCTCTCCGTGCTGGCCTACAACAGTTGGCTTGACCTGGGTTTATTCTTCTCCTTCGAAGCAGGCAGCTTGCAGTGAATTCACCCGGCCCGGCCCCGGCCATCGCTGCCTCCCCCATCCCACGGCAGCTTTGCACGGCAGTCGCCATCTTTACCTTTCAGACCAGCTTGTCTCCTTGAACACAGAGCTGTGGCAAAGGACCCCTTCTCTTGTGTGTTTGGGGGTTTTTAATACCTTTTCGCTTTTGTTTTGGTAGCTTTTTTTTTCTCTTGACACCTCAAAAAAAAAAAAAAGTATTAAGGCTGCAAACCTGATCTAGCAACGTGACTCCAAGCTTGTGAAAGGCAGAAAAGATGAGCAGGTGTTCCCTTTTTACAAAAAAAAAATTAAAAAAAGAAAGGGAGAAAAAGAAAAATCACTTTCTATGGAATTAAAAATAGAGCTCATTAACTTTAATAAACATGGATGTTATGAATGATGAGTTAGCTGTAGCTCACTGATGGTTTGCGTTTTGTAAGTTACATTTGAATGAACTACAAAAAAAACCCCAAAACCAACAAACCACCAACAGCATACTTGGGCTGTAAATGTTGATAAATGATGTCTAATGAGAAGTTTGATAGATCTGCCTCCTCCCACCCAAAATCTCAGACATTTTGGGGGAATAAGGGTCACCTCCTCGAGATGCCTTTCATGACCATTTTAATCCACACCTGTACAAACATGCTCAGCTGGATTCCCAAGCACGTTACACTCAGAAAATCTGTCTGACTGCATCTTAACCAAAGAGCTGTGGGGTCTCAGCCCTGGTTACAGCTCGAAGCCCCTCTGCTTCTCGGGTGAGACGGGCTGTCAGCTGGGGCAAGCCTTGCTCGTTTTTTATCTTTGACCTGTGCCTTGGTGGCAGTTTCCTGGCAGTGCTGTTTTACAGAATGAAGTTTGCCCGTGATGTAAACAGGATGTGTCCGTGATGGTCTCTTCTTTTAAACGCAACGGGTGTATGAACATTGAGCTAAACCTTGAAAACCTTGAAATTTGTTTCTTTTTTTTTTTTTTCCCCACCCCTAGCGAACAGTGCTGAGTAAGGGAGAGACAAGGAAAGACGCCTGCATGAAGACTGAGCTGCTGAAAGATATCACCAACAACAAAGAAGAAGGTGAGCACCTGCCTTGGTTGAGGGCCAGACCTTGCTCGTGAGGTCAGCACGTGATGGGAACAAAACTGGGAGCTTGGAGATGTGCTCTATCCCCTGAGCATCTCAGGTGTGCTCCCATGAACGGAGTGGCTCTGTTCTCCTGGGTTTATTCTGAGCAGGTCTCCTCCCTGGAAGATGCAGATTTCCTTTTCAGTCCATCCGTCGCCACCTGCCTAAAGAATGATATCTAATTTTCACTTCTGCTTTGGTGTGGCTGTGAAGTGCAAAGGAGTTACTTTGAACCTCCTCTGTGTGACTGGTTTTAACTGAACTCTGATCACCGCCACACGATGACCTAGCCCTTTTCCTCCCTCTATTAAAGTTAACTTTCTGTTTTCCTGTGAGTTTCTCTGTTGCTCCAGAGCAGGCACCGATTGCTGCAGGATGGCTGGTGGGGTTAGACACCCCACACCTCATGCCATTGTGGGATGCTTCATGGCTTCTGCATTGTTTCTGCTTGCTTTTACTTTGCAGGATGCAGCGCACATGTTAATTTGACGAAGTCTTTCCTGCGTGATTGTCTGTGAGTTGCATGCACACAAATCTGGGGGCTTAATAAATGTCTCAGTGGGATTAGGAAAAAAAAAAAAACCCACCGCCCTTTATCTCCCCCCCCTCCTCCTTTCTTTCCATGGCTTTATTATTCCTTGACTAGTTACTTCTCATAGCTCTGCAGGGATTTGGTGTATTTTTGTTCTCCTTTCCATAACAGAGCATTAGAAAAGCACTGAACGGACCTCATCAAAATACCTAGTCTTAGCTAGAAACAAAATTTTGAACTTAGTTCAGATGTGTATGAGTACAGCCTTGCTTTCTCTTCTATCCAGCATAATGTTTTGTCAAGCCGCTCTAGTTAGAAAGTAAAGCTCAGAACAGGCAAAATATTGAATGCAGCATCAGATGTGGCCACAGTGCTTGCATATTAGCTGGGAGCACATGAGTGCTACTGCCGGTTGCTTATGGACCTCCGATCTGGGCAGACCAGAGATGAAGTCTGAGATGTCAGTGGGAGGTCACGTTGCTCTGGGGGGAGACTCATGCTTTGACCCCTTGCCTTGCTTGGCTCAGGATTATAAAGCTAGTTTATTTAGCTCTTGGTTGATCTTAAGGTAAGTGTTAAGAGTCTGTGGAGGTAAAAATCCAGGAGGAGGCGGGAAGACAGACATTTCTGCACCTTATGTGTCTTGACTGATTTTGACTTAAAGCAAATGCTGTGTATCAAAAGGAAGCTGAGAACCTTCCCTGTGCAGGAACAGTCTCGAGGCTTCACGAGGGGTTCAAATTCCAACCACTTCAGCTTATTGTCCAGTTCTGTTACCGGGGGAAGAAGGATTCCTAAAATGTGAACTGCATAGTCTCCATTCTTGTGGTAACGTTCAGATTGTATCCTTCTCTTCCCAAGCATGTCATGTGTGTAAAAGACAATGGTTTGCGTGGTTGTTGTGCTATATGCATTGTTCTTCGCTGACCTTCGTTACCCAGCTGTGATCATCACAGGAGTTCAATTAGTTAATGTCCCTAAAGTCTGTTAATAACAGTGTTTGGTGTTGGCAAGGAATTTACATTTTTGAGTGTTGCGTGAACATGAAATCATTACAGCAGACTTGCAGGATGGCATGAAATAGTTTCTTTGAGCCCTGTTTCTTGACACAGGGATGTGTGGCAACATACGGAGCTGAGATGCATGGACTGGAAAAACACCCTGAAGTCTGCAATTTCTCTCTTTAAGTTTGCTTGAACAAGCAAAGGAGGATGGGACCGGTGCTGTTTAATATCTTCATCAATGACATAGCGGATTGAGTGCACCCTCAGCAAGTTTGCAGATGATACCAAGCTGAGGGGTGCAGTTGACATGCCTGAGGGATGGGATGCCATCCAGAGGGACCTGGTCAGGCTCAAGAAGTGGGCCTGTGTGAATCTCATGAGGTTCAACAAGGCCAAGTGCAGGTTCCAGCGCCTGGGTTGGGGCAACCCCCAGTATCAACAGAGGCTGGGGGATGGTGTGATTGAGAACAGCCCCGTGGAGAAGGACTTGGGGGTACTGGTGAATGAAAAGCTGGATGTGACCCAGCAATGTGTGATTGCAGCCCAGAAAACCAACCACATCCCGGGCTGCATCCAAAGCAGCATGGCCAGCAGGTTGAGGGAGGGGATTCTGCCCCTCTGCTCTGCTCTGGTGAGACCCCCCTGCAGTACTGCCTTCAGCTCTGGGGTCCTCAGCACAAGAATGATATGGACCTGTTGGAGCGAGTCCAGAGGAGGGCACGCGGATGATCTGAGGGCTGGAGCACCTCTGCTGTGAGGACAGGCTGAGAGAGTTGGGGTTGTTCAGCCTGGAGAAGAGAAGGCTCTGGGGAGACCTTAGAGCAGCCTTCCAGTACCTAAAGGGGCCGACAAGAAAGCTGGGGAGGGACTTTTTACAGGGGCTTGGAGTGATAGGACAAGGGGGAATGGTGTTAAACTAAAAGAAGGTAGATTCAGACTCGATTATATAAGGAAGAAATTCTTAACAATGAGGGTGAAGAAACCCTGGCAGAGGTTGCCCAGAGAGGTGGTGGCTGCCCTATCCCTGGACACATTCAAGGCCAGGTGGATGGGGTTCTGAGCAACCTTCGTGGACTTGAGGATGTCCCTGCTCACTGCAGGGGGGTTGGAGACCTTTAAGGTCCTTTCCAACCCAAACCGTTCCATGATTCTCTGATGTGTGGGAGTGAGAATCCACAGAAGTCTGCTGGTGCTTCTGGGTTCTAGTTTAGGCTGAGCTGCTGGAGCGAACTGATTGTGTGTTTGATGGGACCCATGGCCTGCAACGTAAGACTAGACCTATTGTAGGTTTTGTTCCCCTTGGGAAAATCCTCATGGCAGGTTATTTGTCAATATTGAACCCGAGATCTAAAACTTCAGAGGCTTGAACTTGCAGATCCAAAGACTGACTAAAGGTGCTGTTTGGGCTAAAGATTTCGTGTGAATTACTTTGTTTTTCCCTCTTTTTACTCCCCCCGACTCAGAAGGGTACTGATACTGAGGTCAGTATCAGATCCCCATTTGAACTGCGTTAGCCTGTACCATAGCTCTGCTGCTGCCCCTCTGAGTGCCCTTTTGTGAGTTACACCTCTACGTATGAACTTGCAGTTTCTCTATGTCTAAGATGAGCCAGGAAATTCAGGTAGCTTGCAGCCTTGAATGAGATTTAGAGGTCTGTCCCCCAAGCAAGGCACATCGGCACCGCTGCAGTAGTGCCTGCGACTGCTGTCTGGCCCCACCACTGATGAAGATCATCATGTTGGAGATCTCCACGAAGATCTCCTGTTGCAGGGAAGGCTCATACTCTTGTGGGGCAATAGCTGAGCTGCCTCAGTTTATAATCTGCAGTTTTGAGGCAGTTACCTGGTTATCCTCAGTGTACCAGCCTGTCATTTGTGACAGCTCAGTAGATGCTGCCCCAGGAGACAAGTTGCTGGGTCAGGGTGCTGGGTGGGTGCTCTCAGGGAGCAGCCTGGAGATAGGGGGTCCTTGGGTGGGCAGTTGCGGTGTTTTGTTCTTTGTTCCTCGAGTGGAAGGTATTGCGTAAAGGCACTGTTGTTACCAGCTGGGATGTCCTCTTCTGGCTTCATCCTGGCACTGATAAAGAGCAATAATTGAATTATAAATTTAACGTACCTTTGTAGGAACAAGATCTTTGCGTGTTCCCAGCACTTTCATTTCCAAATATGGGGTTAAGTCCCAGCTTGCTTAAAGCTCGGTGTAAGTTGCTTGCTAGACTCAGTGTCCCCTTCTGTGGAAGATTGCTCAATACAGATAGAAAAAAAAGCTGTGGATGGACTGTGTTTTGCTGTCCGTGGGGAAATGTTCTAGTTTGGTTTTACATGTGGGTGTGGGTTTAGGTCCATCTTTCGCTTTGACAGGGAGGGGAAAGGGGCAGGGAGATGGAAGAGATGAGCGGAAAGAAGTTGCTCTTGTGTTTTATTAGGCTGTATTGTCTTTAGTCTGACTCAGAGAGAAACTAATTAAAAAGTGGTTTCTTTGCAAGAATTGCAAGTGATTTCAGTTCTCCTCCTAGTGTACTGAGCTCCTAACTCCATGCTGCATCTCGCTTGACCTTTCAAGACAAACCACTCCTTTTCTGACTCCCCAGCCCCAGAGATGGAAAGTTCCACTAAAGCAGTGGCATGAAGGAGCAGGAAGGGAAGTTGGTAACAAAGTTCCCCATTAGCCTCGAAGTTTTTAAGACTGCACCCGAGGCAGCTGTTTTACAAGAGCCACGGTGCTGGAGCATAGTGCTGGATGAGACATGCACAGTCGTTTTGCTCTTGGATAAACTTAAAACTGCTTTTAGAGAGTGTCAGGGTTTTAAATTCCTCGAGGGGCCTTTTCTCTCTCTCTCTCTCTCTCTCTCTCTCTCTCTCTCTCTCTCGTCTTTTGTTTCCTTTTCTCCCTCTTATTGTAGATAGGAAGCTGCCGTGAGTGAGGAAAGTGCTGCTTTCCACTGAGCAGCTGCAACCTTTGCATTCCCAGGGGCAGAGTTGGCTGCTTTAAAAGGAGAAAAGGAATAATCTCCTTGCCTCGATGTACTCGGCACTGGGATCCCCTGCTGAGGCTGACAGCCAGGAGAGCAGACAGACCAAAATGATGCTTAGGTATTTTAGATGTTCACCCAGATGTGCACCCAGGTGCTCCCTGTGTTTGAGACCCCTGGTCCGGGCGGAGGCGGGGCTGTGCCCCAGGGCAGAGACACCGGCTGCAGAAGGAACGTGCTCAGAGCCCGGCAGCCCCAGGAGCATCCCTTGGTCACAGATGGGCTTGGGGCCTCGTGGCCAGCGCTGTGACACCGTGGACCCAATCCCATGGCAAAGGAACAAATTAATTTCATGCAGGCTGTTAAACTGCTTTGAGTCACCACCGGTGTTCACAGGCAGCCCACCGGCGACATGCTGAATCCCATTTACCCGACCTGTGTAATC